CAACGACGCAGGTTCCGCCTCGGCCTTTTTCTGCTGCTCCCTCAAGGAGGTGCGAACGAAAGACCTGAGACGTCTCGAAGAGAAGCGGAAGGTTCAATCAATGGGATGCGACCAACATTGCCGAAGCGAAGTTTATTTTGAAGAAGCTCTGTACGAAGGCCAGATGCATTCCCACCTTTGTCGCTCGTGTTGGCACCAGCACCAACTCCATCACCAGCCCCCGCCCAAAGCCGGAATTCCGGCCCCCGCCACCGCACCACCAACACCGCCGGCACCACGAGCAACACCAACCAGCACTGCACCATCTCCACCAACGTTTTGAATTTAAACCATTAAAAGACCGCAACAACAACAACCACAACCAGCAACAACAGCAAGACGACCACTAGCCCCGCCGCTACCCCCATCCCCAACACCACCCGCGCCACCACAACCACCAACAACACAACAACCACCACTTGCACGACAATCACAGCAATCACCAGAACACCAGCAACCACAAACCTTAATTTCAATTGGACGCTGCGCGAGCTCAACGCATTGGGGGCGATTGCCGCACTTTGCACTCACGAGATAGTGAAACTGACCCGATGACCTTACTATGTGCCCAGGAGACCGATCACGCTACGCTGCCTCCTACCTCTTCGGGCCGTCGTGCGCATGAGACTCTGTTCCCATCTCCACCGAACAGGATTGCCTGTCGCGGCTGCCTCGTATCCCCGGTGGGGGGCCGTCAGTCACTTGAGAGGTTCCAGAGCTCTCCATGTAGCAGGACCACGGTCGGGTGTGGTGGAAAGCAGAAAAGAGAAGTACCTGCAGTGTCCTGCAGTCACAAGAATGCAATGTTGTGACTGCGATACAGAAGTCTGTCAGCACGTCAAGCTTGTCACGATGGCGGTGCATGTTCTCTTTTTGAGCAGTCTGGCGGCGGCCGTAGCAGAAAGGCCAGCGGTGCATCCCAAATTTCTCGGAAGATTGCTAGGTGCATAGGCAGTGCCTCCGTGAAAATGCCATCACTTGCGCCAGTTCCAGCTGCTGCTGGACCCCGACCCAGAGCCGTGCTGCCACCAACTGCCGCCGGTTCAGTGCTGGTCTGGCCAGGGATCCCCGTCGCGTGGCCTCTTATCAGACTGGGTGGGGGGGGCTCGACGTGACGCTTGTCCCGGTCGTGCTGCTGATCTCGCTCGCGCTGCCGGCGGCCGTGT